CTCGAGCGCAACTTCAGCCCATAAGACGGTAAGCCGCAACAGAATCGGCATACAATCGACTTCAGGCGTCCTGCGGTGCCTGGGATATGCCACTCTGCGAGAACGAAACGTCATGCACCTTGGTTGCAGTCTCAGAAGATAGGCCGTAAAGCGACAAAACCCAACACCCTGAAAGCTAAAACGCTTGACCCGAAACCAAAATTCCCGCTTCCTAAGCAATCTAGTAGAGAGGACTAAATCCAGGGAACAGTGCTTTCGGGAGTGTTCTGCTTTTATTGATGCTTGCAGTGGAGGCGATAGTTGGATATTGGAGCTCCTCCTTCCCCGATCAAAGCAGCTACTTGCGGCCAAACTTCAATAGTTTGCATGGGTGTCCAGGTGCTTTCAGCACTCCTGGCAAGTATGTGTGTCAAAGCTGGTGCTACACGTCCAAGCGGCTCGGAAGCATTCTGGACTCATCTGCCTCAGGGTTTGAGGGTTTAGGGTTTCAGGCCTGACATGTGCGCACATTTGTGTGCACGTTTGCGCGGCGTCACGTGATCACACGAAGCAGGCTGCATTCGAGCATCTGTGCAGTCATCCCTTTATCTAGGCGTTGCGGAACATAGAAGTCAAGGGGCTTTGATGTGCGCTTTCCATCGCCTGACGGTTCTGACGTGAGCCGTGTTCAGGTACTGTCCCAGAATCGACAGTGTGAGCAACTCCATGCGGAATGTCTACATTTCCGATGGGAGCAACATCCTTGTGAAGGTGCGCAGTGCTCTTCTAACTTCGAGAGGGCCGAGGAATAAACCCCGCAGTGCATCATGGAACATTGAAGGTTGCCCATCCCTTGCTGCACATGTGAGGGCCGACAGTGCATCCCGCTACAGACCGGATTTATCAAGAACCCTTAAGCCCTACACCCCAAACCCGTGAACCCTACACCCTGAAGTTGGCCTGGGAAACGTTTTGGAAAAGGGCCCCGCGAGGCCTACTCGGCGTGTGTTGAGAACACGTCGCTGACATCACAGTGTGTGTCTGGACAGCATTCATACTGAAGTTGGTGCCTTTCTTGTGAGGGGTAGGGCGTCGTTGCTTCAGTGAAGTTAAGAGCGATGGCAAGGGTTCCGTGCGAAGCTCTTCGCCATGACCCCCCCAAGTTCGCGACCAGGACGGTCATAGAGGGGCCTGAGCCGCAGAGATTAGAGCCTACTGTCTCCAAAACTGATTCTAATTATTTAGGCCCCCCTATTTGTAGAATCCCAAAGTACCCTTCTAGGACCTGTTAAAAGGAACCCACTCTAGTGATTGAGACCCTTTCCTCCGACCGGAACCCCTCGGCAGACCGGTTTCCGGTCCGCGGACGTGGAGTACTCGGGCACCGATGTAGCGACGAACCAGGCGCGCCAAGTGGGCCGCAGAGACACGGCAGGGGAGCGGAGAGGGAGATGAGCCTGTAGAAGAACCAGAAGCCGGCGACAGAATGAGGAATGAGAGAGAGCCAAAGCGAGAGAAGGGAGAGGGGGAGAGAGAGGCACGGGAACAACAGAAAGAGAAATGCAGGATGCCTGGACAGAGGGGTCTGCGTAGGCAAGGGTGGAGAGGGGGGGGGCTCTACAGTCACCCGAAAGACGGTCCCAGCTCGGCCTTGCGGCTTCTTACCTTCCTAGCTTCGCCTCTTTGTGTCTGTGAGCATCGTGCTTTCTTGATGTCATCGCTTGAAGGACTGTCTTCCTGTCCTGGTTTCTCAGTGAATTAGGCAAGAGCAGTATAGGTGGCAGTAAACAGGGCAGCAGCCGCGGCCCAGCGAACTCTTGATCCTTGTGTCCCTGCGAAACATGTAGCTTTTGCCGCGCTGGACACTGTGCTGCTCTTGTTCTTAGTGGTTTTGAAGTCTTTTTGAGGGCATTCTTCCGTGGCCTGATGTATGGATTGTGAGGCGGAACAGGAGCCTCCTCTTTCGCCTGATGTTGAGACTCTCCCACAGACTCGATGTGATCGAAGCGAGAGAGCACAAACCTCAGCCTCCACCCCTGGGGTTCCCTGTCTGCTCAAGAGTCTCAGGCATGCTTAAAGAGGCTCGCGTGTTCGGCCCTGCCGCAACGCTGAGTTGAATATGCGAGCTTAAGTGTCGGGGTTTAGTGTTCAGGATTTCGGGAGGGTTTAGTGTCCAACTCCTCAGCCCCAAGACACCTCCCTGGGACCAGGCGGTGTGGATCGGCACTTTCTGGCTGTCACCGGGGAACACTGGCCCTGACGAGGTGGCAGCCCCGAGAGATGAAACCCGAGCTCACCAAAGCCCCGAAGCCCTTCTCCCAACTGTTCTACTATACTATACTATACTATACTATACCATACTATACTGTACTGCACTATACTATGCTATGCTATGCTATGCTATGCTATGCTATGCTATGCTATGCTATGCTATGCTGTGCTATGCTGTGCTATACTGTAGTTACTATACTATACTATACTATACTATACTATACAATATAATATAAAATATATAATATATACTATAAAAAATATACTACATAATATATACTATATAATATATATACTATACTATACTATACTATGCTATGCTATGCTATACTATACTATGCTATGCTATACTATGCTATATAATATATATATATATATACACCATATAATATTTACTGTATAATTTTTACTATACTATACTATACTGTACTGTACTATACTATGCTATACTATACTATACTATACGAAACATTACGCTCTCTATATACTATACTATACTATACTATACTATACTATACTATACTATACTATACTATACTTTACTATACTTTTCTATATTATACTAAACTACACTATATTATACTATACTATACTATACTAAACTATACTATACCATACCATACTATACTATACTATACTATACTATACTATACTATACTCCATTATACTATACTATACTATACTATACTGTACTATACTATACGATACGAGATGCTATACTATACTATACCATACCATACTATACTATACTATACTATACTATACTATACTATACGAGATACTACACTATACAAGACTATACTACTACTACTACTACTACTACTACTATAATACTATAATGGTAGAATGGTAGAAGGCACCAGGGAACCCCAAGCCCAATCGTTAATGCTCGCCACAGCCCTAAGCACCAGGATCCCTCTTCCGGTGGGTTCCCAGGTCCTTCAGATTCGGATGCGGGCCATCCGGTTTCATTGGCATTGCTTGCAACCGCATTCCGAGCGGTCCTAGCGATTTGATGCTTCCCCGTACATGTAGCCAGCCTAAGTAAGCATGTGGCGACGTGATTTTAAGCAGAACTGTATGATGTGGCGGTATTACATGTTGTCAACCACAAATGTCATCCCCTCCCACGTAAAACGCTGTGCTGTACACAGGCCACGAGTCCCGTCGTCCCGACGATGTACACCGTCTCTCTGCAGCGATCATTGGGTTGGCTTCATGATTAGCTTATCATTTTCTGTACTGCGTGCAAACTGTTAGACTGTTGGGTGATGGGATGTGCGAGGGCATCTGAAGCGTTTGCAGCAGAACTTGCAGCAGTCCAAACATGGTAATCATGGCAACACACATTTTGAAAGCTCGTCCAGTGCCTCGTGGCAATTCGATATTTTTCGAGCACCCGTGTGGATCTACACAATTTTGCGCGTGCAGCAGCCAGGTCTGCCTGATAGCCTTGTGCGTGCTGATAGTCATGGCTTACAGCAGCCAGGCTAGCGGAGGGGCTTGTTCCGGAATCAGGGTTCAGCGGTTTTGTGCGCTGGGCTCTATCGGGAGTACTGGGGTACGGTGTTCTGTAACCTTGGAGGTCCCAGTTCTGACCAGCCCTAGCCGCAGTGACCCAGGGTTCTCCGGGACCAGTTGCTTCGAAGCTCCAGACTTCGCAAGTTCAGAACGCCAGGTCCTGACCGATTACAAGGTGGATGCTGGTGGGAGCCCGGGCAGGGGTTGAAGGGTTCGGGTTGTCGAGACCCTGCCATGTTGATAGCACAGGACCCTGTAAGAATCACCTTGCACAGATCCCCTAAACCCTAAACCGTCAAGCCCTAAACCCCAAACCCTAAACGCTAAAACCCTCAACCCGAAAACCCCAAACCCTAAAATGCTACACCCTAAACTCCAAAACCCTCAACCCTAAAGCCCTAAACTGTTGAATGACAGGGTTGCAGGCACGGGCCTGGGAAAGTCGTGGTGCAAAAGGACCAAGTCCGGAGATGAAGCTTTGGGCTAGTGCACGGCGGTGCAAGTCAGGGTTTTAGGGTTGAGGGTTTTAGGGTTTAGGGTTTAGGGTCTATGACGATGAAATCAGACGATGTTGATGGCGATGATGGTGATGCTGTTGCTGGTGACGGTGGTGGTGGTGGTGGTGGTGGTGGTGGTGCTGCTGCTGCTGCTGCTGCTGCTGCTGCTGGTGATTGCTGCCTCATTCGGAGCAAAAGCACAACCATGACCATCACCATCACCGTCGTCATCGTCATCATCATCATCATCAGCATCATCATCATCATCATCGACATCATCATAATCATCATCAACAGCATCATCCGCATCCTCATCCTCATCCTCATCGTCGTCGTCATCGTCGTCGTCATCATTATATTTCTTCATCACTGTCCGTTTTGCCGCACCCTCAGGCACGATCTCCCCGAATGACTTTGCCATCATGGTCAAGGCTACGCTTTAGGCTTTGGGGTTTAGGGTTTAGAACCCTAAACCCTAAACCCGTGGTTCTTGGAGTTTTGGGCTTTGGAGCATCGTGACATACTTGGGACCTGAGCAATGCCCCCTGTCAGGGACTCCCGTCAACTGCTACGGATGAGGACAGCTCGTCGCGCACTGCGCACTCTGATGATCCGGAACCTATCCTGACACGGTTTAGGGTTTAGGGGACCCAGGTATTCGCATATTCCACATTGACCTCCTCGTCTCGGCTCGTAGTCCTGGGCCGACCCGGAATAGCAATGGTCCTGCAGGATGCAATCATGGAGTTTTTCAAAGAGCATGCCGTGAAGGGCAAGACGGACACAGAGATCGTCAAGGCCGATGGGAGGGAATGGGCGAGTCCGATCCGGCGGGGGCAAGGAGACAACTTATCAGCCCCAAGCCCTAGTCCACGAGCAATATGAGCCCAAGGCCTTCCTGTTTTAAAACCTGAGTGGCGCACATCTGATTCCAAGAAGCCCTGAAGCCCGGAGCTCCCATGATCCGTCAAGGTCCCCAAGCCCCCCGAGCTTCAAGCTCCGATCGGTCGGGTGGCGAGCAGGTCGTGATCGGTTGGGACATTGAAGAGTTCCGAGAGAACATCTCAAAGTTGAAGGTCGGATGGCCTTCATGTTGGGTGTGTTGTAGAAGTAGGGGTGAGCTTCATCTCCGATACGGTCTTGATCCTCATTTACTGGGTTGGCAAGCCGCTTCACATGCGGATCTTCTTGAGCAAGTTTCTTGAGGGTTGGTCTTGTTTTGACAAGGTGCTTGGGCGATATGCAGCGTGACGCTGTGTCGTCAGTCTTGTTTTTGCTCTGCGAATTGACCACCCTTCTGTTCGCAGCATGCTGTCGGCTGTGCGGCCTTGCCCCCTTTAAGGGTGAGGCTCCAACGATCTCCTGAATGCTTCAACTGAAAGTCCAGGGTTCCGAAGCTGCAACCCGTTCGGGATCTCAGAATGCGGGCAGCCCGGGAGGTCTGGAGCTTGGGCTTGGAGGTCAGTGATGTCTAGGTCTAGGTTATTCTAGGGCCGCAGCAAGGTGTTCTTTTTTCACCTTGCTGTCGAGCACAAGCGATTGCTGGACAAGGGCAGCGTTAGGTCAGACAACCACCGCACTCCGCGTCGCCTGCAGCTACTAGAACCAGAGCCTCCCTCCTGCCATTTCTTCGCAGCATCCTTAACTGGATCCCTCCGTGACCGGTAGGAGCTGAAGAAGAGGCTGGATGAGAAGGACAGTAGCGACCCGGAGGTCCGGTTGCGAATATTCTTATTGCTCTTGCTACTCCTACTGCTTGTGCTACCCATACTCGTAATCCTACTCCTGCTACTGCTACTACTGCTGCTGCTGCTGCTGCTGCTACTGCTGCTGCTGTTACTACTACTACTACTACTACTACTACTACTACTACTTCTACTACTACTACTACTACTACTACTACTAGTAGCACTAGCACTAGCACTAGCATTAGCACTAGCACTAGCAGCGCTAGCACTAG